GCAGCAGGGCTGTGGGGAGGGGTGTCTACGGTGGTGTGGGGCGGGAGCAGAAGCCCATTCACGGCCAGAAGCCCAGCTGAGGCTGTGAGAGGGACTGGTGCGCGGTTTCTCCGTCCTGCAGCCTCTGGATCTTCCCAGCACCCCGTGGTGACGTCCCAGGAGAGGGGGTGGGAAGGGAGCCTGGGAAAAGTAGCTCACTGCGGTACCTGGCAGGACAGGGGAGAGCTAGAGGATGGACCTTCTGGCAGTCAGGCAAGTGGCCTGCACACTCCGATTGCTTTCCCTGGCTGTCTCTCTCATCTAAAAGAATGCACCCAAAGTTTATTCTCAGTTGCAGATCTGTCGTCTTACTGGTCTGCTTAAACACTTTTATTTCAGCACTTATTTTGAGAAGACTTTGCTTTTTAGGATGCTTATACTGTCCTGAGGTGCCTCTGTCCCCTCCGCGCTGCTTTGCCCATCTTCCCGGCCCAGTTCCACTCACCCATGTCCCTGCACACTATGTCCCTCGTACTCATTGGGGCAGCAGCACTTAGCTCCTGGGTTGTCTCTCCCTCCTCAGGCTCATCATCATCCCAGGATATCACTGTCCCATCTTAGGCCAATCTTAGAGTTTCTTCACTGTTTCAGTTCTTCTCACCTTGACATTGACTCTAGCCACACCCACTTCTCTTACTTGGATCTTATTACCAAGAACTGTTAGACTTCTGAAATCCAACCTCCTCTGTCTTCTAGCCCTGTCCCTCCCTTACTCCTAGAGCACCTGCTCTTCTGCCTCATGGAAGGAGTGATTCTCAACCATGGCTCCATGTCAGAATCACTTTTTGAGGTTTTAAACATTTATATGGCTTAGAGCCACACCTAGAGATTCTAATTTAGTAAGTCTGGAATGGGACTTAGGTACCAGTAAATTATTATTTTTTTTAAGGCTCCCCAGTTGACACTGATTTCTAAAGAGGGTTGAGAACAACTGCTCTAGATTCTGCCATTTTCTCCTAAATTAAAACCTCTTCTTATCCTCACTTTCTTTTTTGTATCATTCATTATTTCAGTCAGCCTCTTGCCTGTCTCTTCAACTTCCTCTTTCTCTTAGTCTTCTGTTGCACTCTTACAGGAAAACCGCCATCCTTATCAGGCTGACTGCATTCTCCATTTTCCTACTGGGTTTCTGGAAGATTCTGCCAGAGAAAATATACAAATTGTGGATTTTCCATCAGTTTGCCACTTCACAGTCAGAGTCTCCCATCTCATCTCTATCCTTGATCCTGCTAGAGGAGAGTCAGGAGCTTAGGCAGTTCCCTCTCCAGTTTCCCACAATACTTATTTCAAAATTATGCCATTCTCAGGTCCCATACCCTACACTTCTTTCTCACTTTCAGATAACATTATTTCCTAATTTCCTAAGGGCATCTAATGTCCATCCATCCATTCTGCAAACTACTGCCTTCTGGCTTTTGAATCCAGTCCTCCAATAAAAGCACTCTGGCCAATGTGACTAAATTTTCCCTTTTTCACCAAGTTCAGTGGCCTCTTATCCTCCCAACATTTTGTTTTGAATTTTAAGCTATTAAAAAATAGTACATTGAATACCTTACACTTGGTGCAGCGATTGTCAACATTTTTATATTTGCTTTATCTCTGTACATATGATTTATGTTTCACTTACCTGAAATTGAAGGCATCATGATTCCTGCCTCAAAATCTGAACATGCATCTCCTTAGATAAGGATGATTTCCTACATCACATTATCGTATCTCAGAAAATCACTGTCAGTGCGATGTCATCTGATTTGCAATCATATTAAAATTTACACAGTTGATCTCATAAAAAGTCTTCCTTAGTTGTGTGTGTGTGTGTGTGTGTGTGTGTTTAACAATTTAACAATACCAGAGATCATGAATTATATTTAGTGGTTATTCTCTCCATCCTTGCTCCTTTGTTGTTCTCACGGCATAGGCTTTAAGAGGCCGGACTAGCTGTATTATAGAATATCCGACATTTTAGATTTCTCGGTTTCTCATGTTTAGACTCAGGTTAAACTCATTTGGCAAGAGCTTGTGAATATCCTAGTACTAAATAGCTTTTTATCCAGTGGTCCTGATATCAACTGAAGATTCTTGGCCGAAGCAAGGATTACATTGTTGATTTTCTAATTTTACCATAGTCCTTAGCTGACATTCCTCAGGAAAGAAGAGCTTTCCTTTCATCATTATTGCCATCCATCCGTACATAGATTGTCCTTAGTTCAAAGTGCTATAATGCATTGCTGCCACTATTGTTTTTGGTTCTCAATTGTATTGTGTTTGGCCTGTCCTATTCAGCTGGTTCCTGTCGCTTTAGAACGTGACCCACTTCCCTGCTTTCTGGCACATCAGAATGGCTCCAGCTCACACTGGCTTTGACTTCTTCCCCCAGGCTGGAATGAGCCATTTCTCTAACGAGCCCTGGTTCCTTTCAGTAGAGAATAATAATATAGAATCCGGAATCTCATGTGCATATTGCTACTGAGGAATCATTTTTGTCTGGAACATTCAGTGGATAAAGCTTCAAAATAGATTTTTTTTTTTTTTTTAAATCTCAAATTCGCACAGATAACTCACATGCAAATCCGGTACCACGAGTTCCTCCTCATCTTCCCTCATTCCATGTCTGCATCTCCCCTACCGGGAAATTCTAGTTTCCAAAACACCAGCATATTTGTTCATTTTCTCTCCTGCACGGTCCATACAAAAGAGCTTCAGAATTACAGCTGTGCTCCCACCGGGAACAAGCTGGCGGCTAAGAGAGGCGCACTAAGCCCACACAGAGTGCTGTGCTCTAAAGTTATTTGAAGGAACGATTTTTCTCTGTGGCACATTACAGACTTACTATGCGGTTTCTTTCTGTTAGTATTCAACTTCATTTTATTTTTCGAGTGTGTATAACACGTACCTGGCTCAAAAGTAAAAACTTCGCGAAAAGGCACATTGAGTAGATTTTCGCTGCTGTCCCTCTCCCTTCCACTCTATTTCTGCCCCTTCCTGTACCCCTGGAGATAATCATTTTCTGTGTTTTATTGTTCTATTTCTATATGTCTGTTCTGTTTTAATCTTCCAGTGTTTCTGCAAAAGTAAGCAATGGCTACGCCTCCCCAGCATAAGTGTGCACACGCTTGACACGTTCGCTCCCATTTCTCCTTTCTTACACAGAGGAGGGATGTTAACCTCTACCTATTCAAGGGACTATCAGAGCCTTTATGGACGTATTTTCAAAGCACCACAGTTTGCCCTCTGGTCACAAATTATTCACTTTTCTCTCACATGCAAAGTACATTCTCTCTCTCCCAAGAAGGCCCCTAACAGTCTCATCCGGTTACAGCTTCCATCCGTTCAAAGGCCAGAATATCCGTATTGAAATTAGATTCAGGTTTGGATAAGCTTCTCAGTTGTACAGCTCCCGGAGTCGAGTTCTTCATCTGAAGACCTGTGACAGCCGACGTCCAGTGGCAGACCCGCATCCATCAAAACTACTGTTCCGCACGGGGACAACAGGAGGCACACGGTCCGTCCCAGTTCTGAAATCTAGCTGAGCACAGATTGACCGTTCCCAGATTGGCACTCAGGCCTGGGAATAACTCCCCATCGTTCTTGGTGCCTTTTTCTGGACTCTTGGATCAACTTTGAGACGTCCTCTTTTTTTTTTTTTTTTTAAGATTTTATTTGTGTAATTGAAAGAGAGAGCACCTAAGCATGAGCAGGGGGAGGAGGAGGGGCAGACAGAGGAGGAAAGGGAGAAGCAGACCCCACACCGAGCTGGGAGCCAGATGTGGGGCTCAGTCTGGAGCCCAGGACTCTGGGATCTTGACCTGAGCCAGAGGCAGCTGCTTGACTTACTGAGCCACCCCGGTGCCCCATGAGAACTCCTTCCTTTACAGGAAAGGCAGCCTGTGAGGTCAGCCAGGGGCCCTCGCAGCCGGCTCACGGGAAGGCCTCTTTTCATCTCACGCTGTCTCAGTCACTCACTCTCAACTAGTGCTGTTTCTTGAACATAATTCTCTACTATCTTGGTGGTTCTTCTGCGACTCTTCCTGGGTTTTGCTCCCTTGTCTTCCCTTTAAATACTGGTGTTTCTTTGGAACACTCTTCTTCATCCTCTGTTTTCCCTTCATACACTGCCCCTGGATGATCCCGTTGACTTCAGCGATTCACTTAGAATTCGGATGCTGATGGTTCCCGAATTCCTGCTCTGAAGCAGGCAGACTCCTCAACTCACAGATGAAGCAGCCTTGTTTGGAGGTTGAAGCTCGAGACCCCTAATGGCTCTTTGACACTGCCCAGTCTCCTCCTTCCCACGTGTATTTCTCAAGTCCATACCCTGTGTCTGACCCCACTGTCTCTGCTTTAGGGTAGACACTTGCCATGTCTTGCCTGCGTCAGTGAAAGCCTTCTCCGACTTGATTCTCTACCTCAGTTTCATCCCCGTCCAGAGCATTCTCTTCAGTCTTCTTTCTCTTCATTCACACTGAAGCCGGACGGCCTTTTCAGACCGCAAACCTAGTGAACTACTCTCTTTCTCTGAAATCCATTCATGACTTTCAAGACAAAAGTCAAGCTCCTCAGCGTGACCACAGCGTCCTTCGTGCTCTGGCCTATATCTTCATTCTCCTATCTGGCTACTTCTTTCCTGTCAGGAATATCTGTGCTGTCACAAGCCTCCTCACCGTTAATTATGGTGCTCCCACGGCCTACACTGCCGTTTCTCTTCTCCTTGATATACTTCAAGGCTCATTCAGCTCGGGTATCACTTGATCGCTATCAAGTAAAACTCCCTCCTCCTACCAGATCTCCTTTTTACCTAGTGCTTGTCTCTCTCAGAGCTCTTCCCAGTCCTTCTGTTGTCTGTTTTCCCCGAGACCTAGAGCATCTTCAGGGTTCACTAAGGAAATCACCTGGGAAAAGGTTTACCACAGAACTATTTCATTAGTAAGTTGATTGATTCATTCTTTAATATTTAGGTTCTTCAAGTCCATTTTTTATGTCATCTATTCGTGGCACAATCATTGAAAACACGTCTTCAGCTGGAACATTGACACAAATTCCTTTTTTCCCCAAATATGAAGTGGAACTTGATTCTCCTAGAAAAGTCATCCCGTACCCTGGAAAGGAACACATCGAACGTGTTTTGGAAGAATATTCACATCAAGTCAAAGATCTGCAAAGAAGACTGAATGAAGTGAGTTGCGTTCTTTCTTCTCTTCTAGTACTTTATGCCCTTTGGGCATGACAATGAGGCAGGTGCCTTGGAACAGAACCTGAACCTACTAAAAGAAACACTTAAGGATAGATTTATTGGTGAAACTTATTAATTTGGCTTATGCCTTCTATTTCAGTATTAAGAATTGAACACGTGAATTTTATATGCCTAATTTTCTTTTGTTAATAGAATGCCTTGGTTTCATGGCTAATTTTAAATTTGACTAGTTCAAAATATTATAATTAATGATGTTTATCTGTAATTAAATAATTGGTTCAGCCTGCTGCCCTGCTATCATGTTACCTTGTTTTCCTTTTTTTAAAAATGTTTTAAGATTATTTCTTTATTTAAGAGAGAGTGTGCAAGCTTGGGGGAGGGGAGAGAGAGAGGCACACTCCTTGCCCAGCAGGAAGCCTGACATGGTGACATGAATTCGATCCCAGGACCCCTCAAATCATGACCTGAGCTGAAGACAGATACTTAACTGAGCCACCCAGGCACCCCGATACCTTGTTTTTCTTTACAAAGCAGTTGTGGGGATAGGTTTTTAGATATATATGTGTACATAATAGCTAAATAATATATAAAAGCTATTTGCTAAATTTTTTTTATATTTGCTAAAAATTTTTAAGTGGACCTTATGTAGAACGAAGCCAGCTTTAGGCAGATTTACAGTTGTAAACTGGGTCCCAGGAGTCTGTGGTCTAAAAGTGAAACTTACCATTGTACTCAAAGCCTTTCATGATATAACCCCTCTCTGTACATTGTAGCCTCATCTACTACCTCTTCCCCAAATGCACCCTCCATTGCAACAGTGTTAAGCCATTTGGTCTTTCCTGGAGGTAGCATGCTTTTCTAGGGCTTCATGCTTTTGCCCAGGCCATTTCTTCTTTACCATGTGTGCCTGGCAAATTCTTATTATCCATCAAGACTCAGCTCAAGCATTTGCTTCTCCGAGTCCTTTGCTCTAAACAGCATTAGGAATGTTCTCCTCTGCACAGCTGTCGCCCTGTGTGCACGTCTGCTGCAGTATTTAAGTCATGTCACGGTATTCATTCGTTAACAAATTGTTCTCCCTCATTCAGACTGCGTAAGCACACTCAGGGGAAAAACTACAACTTTATTAGGTGCTGAAATCATGTACTATTGTGTTATGTGCAGCAATACAGAGATGAGTAAGGTAGGACTCATAAGGGGTTCGTAGACTTGAAGAGGATCTGGCATATAAACAGTGCTAATTCCTCATGGTAAGTGCACTCATAAAGGGGGAGGATGGGTGGGTGGACAGATGGATGAAGCAGAGACACCAGTGAGGGAAAGAAACGGTGTCTTAATTCCTCTGGCAGAGAATCTGACACGTGATTGGCTCCCAGTAAATATGTGTTAATCTCTAATAAATGACAGGGCTGTTTGGAGACTGGTAATATTTAGCACGAACCTCCTATGCAACAGGTGTGCTGGGTGCTGGATGTATGAAGATGGAAAAGATGTGGCCGTGTCTGCGTACACATGTACGGTCCGTGGCTGAGATAGTTAAATCGACGATGGGAGTAACAGTGAGATCTGTGCTGCAGTAGGGGAGGCAGTGACGCTAGAGCCAGTTGCTGCTGATGCTCCTTTTCGTATTTCACTTTTTAGCGACACTTCACAGGGGTGATTTCCGCTGCCTCTTGAACCACTCTTTTCTCATGGAGACACTCTTGATTTTCCTTGAGCTTATTTATTTGCCTTCAGTTTCTTGTTCCAACAAAACTATCTGAAAACACTCAACAGTGATCCCATGGCTTCTGTTCCCATCTATATGCCAGTACATGCTCAGCTTATGTTTCTAGTACGGACCTCTCCCCGTAGCTCTGCGCCGGTTAGTATATCCATGTACCTACTTGACATTTCTACTTGAAACTGTTCTGAGGCTCTGTCAACTTCGGCTTCCTAGTGGGATACATGAACTTCCCCCAAACTCACTCTTCTCCCACTGTCCCTTCCAACTATATGTGTGCCACCTTTACATAGTGGTACGAGACAAAACCTCGTTTATTCTCTCTCTCTCCCTTTCTTCTTTCTTTCTTCCTTCCTTTCTTTCTTTTTCTTTCTTTCTTTCCTTCTTTCTCCTTCCTTCCTTCCTTTTTTTTTATTAAATTTTTTTATTTTTTTATAAACATATAATGTATTTTTATCCCCAGGGGTACAGGTCTGTGAATCGCCAGGTTACACACTTCACAGCACTCACCATAGCACATACCCTCCCCAATGTCCATAACCCCACCCCCCTCTCCCAACCCCCCTCCCCCCAGCAACCCTCAGTTTGTTTTGTGAGATTAAGAGTCACTTATGGTTTGTCTCCCTCCAGATCCCATCTTGTTTCATTTATTCTTTTCCTACCCCCCAAACCCCCCACGTTGCATCTCCACTTCCTCATATCAGGGAGATCATATGATAGTTGTCTTTCTCCGAATGACTTATTTTGCTAAGCATAATACCCTCTAGTTCCATCCACGTCGTCGCAAATGGCAAGATTTCATTTCTTCTGATGGCTGCATAGTATTCCATTGTATATATACCATATCTTCTTTATCCATTCCTCTGTTGATGGACATCTAGGTTCTTTCCATAGTTTGGCTATTGTGGACATTGCTGCTATAAACATTCGGGTGCACGTGCCCCTTTGGATCACTACGTTTGTATCTTTAGGGTAAATACCCAGTAGTGCGATTGCTGGGTCATAGGGTAGTTCTATTTTCAACTTTTTGAGGAACCTCCATGCTGTTTTCCAGAGTGGTTGCAACAGCTTGCATTCCCACCAACAGTGTAGGAGGGTTCCCCTTTCTCCGCATCCTTGCCAGCATCTGTCATTTCCTGACTTGTTAATTTTAGCCATTCTGACTGGTGTGAGGTGGTATCTCATTGTGGTTTTGATTTGTATTTCCCTGATGCCGAGTGGTGTGGAGCACTTTTTCATGTGTCTGTTGGCCATCTGGATGTCTTCTTTGCAGAAATGTCTGTTCATGTCTTCTGCCCATTTCTTGATTGGATTATTTGTTCTTTGGGTGCTGAGTTTGCTAAGCTCTTTATAGATTTTGGATACTAGCCCTTTATCTGATATGTCTTTTGCAAATATCTTCTCCCATTCTGTCAGTTGTCTTTTGGTTTTGTTAACTGTTTCCTTTGCTGTACAAAAGCTTTTGATCTTGATGAAATCCCAATAATTCATTTTTGACCTTGCTTCCCTTGCCTTTGGCGATGTTCACAGGAAGAAGTTGCTACGGCTGGGGTCAAAGAGGTTGCTGCCTGTGTTCTCCTCACGATTTTGATGGATTCCTTTCTCACATTGAGGTCCTTCATCCATTTTGAGTCTATTTTCGTGTGTGGTGTAAGGAAATGGTCCAATTTCATTTTTCTACATGTGGCTGTCCAATTTTACCAACACCATTTATTGAACAGACTGTCTTTTTTCCGTTGGACATTCTTTCCTGCTTTGTCAAAGATTAGTTGACCATAGAGTTGAGGGTCTATTTCTGAGCTCTCTATTCTGTTCCATTGATCTATGTGTCTGTTTTTGTGCCAGTACCATGCTGTCTTGATGATGACAGCTTTGTAATAGAGCTTGAGGTCCGGAATTGTGATGCCACCAACTTTGGCTTTCTTTTTCAATATTCCTCTGGCTATTCGAGGTCTTTTCTGGTTCCATATAAATTTTAGGATTATTTGTTCCATTTCTTTGAAAAAAATGGATGGGATTTTGATAGGGATTGCGTTAAATGTGTAGATTTCTTTAGGTAGCATAGACATTTTCACAATATTTATTCTTCCAATCCAGGAGCACGGAACATTTTTCCATTTCCTTGTGTCTTCCTCAATTTCTTTCATGAGTACTTTATAGTTTTCTGAGTACAGATTCTTTGCCTCTTTGGTTAGGTTTATTCCGAGGTATCTTATGGTTTTGGGTGCAACTGTAAATAGGATTGACTTCCTAATTTCTCTTTCTTCCGTCTTGTTGTTGGTGTAGAGAAATGCAACTGATTTCAGTGCATTTATTTTATATCCTGATACTTTACTGAATTCCTGTACAAGTTCTAGCAGTTTTGGAGTGGAGCCTTTTGGGTTTTCCACATATAGTATCATATCATCTGCAAAAAGTGATAGTTTGACTTCTTTGCCGATTTGGATGCCTTTAATTTCTTTTTGTTGTCTGATTGCTGAAGCTAGGACTTCTAGTACTATGTTGAATAGCAGTGGTGATAATGGACATCCCTGCCGTGTTCCTGACCTTAGCGGAAAAGCTTTCAGTTTTTCTCCATTGAGAATGATATTTGCGGTGGGTTTTTCATAGATGCCTTTGATGATATTGAGGTATGTACCCTCCATCCCTACATTTTGCAGGTTTTGATCAGGAAAGGATGCTGTACTTTGTCAAATGCTTTTTCAGCATCTATTGAGAGTATCATATGGTTCTTGTTCTTTCTTTTATTAATGTGTTGTATCACATTGATTGATTTGCGGTTGTTGAACCAACCTTGCAGCCCTGGAATAAATCCCACTTGGTCGTGGTGAATAATCTTTTTAATGTACTGTTGGATCCTATTGGCTAGTATTTTGGTGAGAATTTTTGCATCTGTGTTCATCAAGGATATTGGTCTGTAGTTCTCTTTTTTGATGGGATCCTTGTCTGGTTTTGGGATCAAGGTGATGCTGGCCTCAAAATGTGTTTGGAAGTTTTCCTTCCATTTCTATTCTTTGGAACAGTTTCAGGAGAATAGGTATTAATTCTTCTTTAAATGTTTGGTAGAATTCCCCCGGGAAGCCGTCTGGCCTGGGCTTTTGTTTGTTTGGAGATTTTTGATGACTGTTTCAATGTCCTTACTGGTTATAGGTCTGTTCAGGTTTTCTATTTCTTCCTGGTTCAGTTGTGATAGTTTATATGTCGCCAGGAATGCATCCATTTCTTCCAGATTGTCAAATTTGTTGCCATAGAGTTGTTC